ACCATGCCAAGAGTGGTCATTTGGCTCCTTAGGGGATGGTAAGATATAGAATCCTCATTATCTGCATTCTGAGTCCATTTCCTTTTCACTACTCCAGGGTCTGCTGCAAGAAGGGGAAATAGGTGTATGGAAATTAAAGAAGTGGCTGCTTCCACATGTTATTAGAAAGCCTACAATAGCTTTGAAATTGGCTCATAAAGGGAAAAACAGAGACTATACTAATAAATTCAGTGCCTAATGAGCATAACTAAATCTTTTTGCAGCCTTGAGATTTCCATAGTTTAATCCTTTGTGAAATAAAATGCACCATAATGGCCATCACAAGCCACCTTGGGACAACTCTAGTTTTGGAGAAATACTACATATGCCTCCATAAAAATACTTCTGGGCATCTCTCTTTGTACCTGTATGTTAGCATTTAAGGGCAGGGTTTATACATTCACATTTTATGAATATGATATGAAATATTAATCTGTATTAATTTAATAATGTAAAAGATGGTACTCTAAAGTCCCAGTATCCTATTTTCCCCTATGTAACCTGAAGCAATATTAAAAGGAAATTCAACTTGACATACTTTAATATATTTAAAACATAAGACAAAGAAAGCAATGAAAATACAGCAAAGAACAAACTCCTTTCATCAGGAAGAAAAGATCAGACATACAGCCAAGCAGAATATGATGGCTTGTTCTATAAGGACTAGTTTTAGAGGGAAAAAAATCACCTGATTTAATGTATTTCCTTTCTGCAGCATGCCTACTTAATTGTAGACAATCCACAATATCATAATATTTTTTGAATAAATTATACTCATTTTGTTTGAACAAGAAATTTAACATATATTTAAAGAGTACAGTTCTGTGGGGGAGAGGAACTGTGCTGAGCTAGGCGTTATACTAATGGCACAGGGTGCAGAATGAGTCATCACGGTTTTTATTTATTCATTCATCCTTAGATCCTTTTAAAAGTCTCCAAGGCCCTAATGACCATCATCATTATCATCAGTAAAAACTGCTTTCTGGTGAAAAGGCAATAGGCATTAAATTTAGAGGCAGCATTAAATTATCAGTAGAGAGGACTTGAAATAGTACTACATGCTTATTCCAGGACACAGTATACTGAAAGTTCATACAGTACCAGTCAGGCACTCATCTTTAAAAAGTCTGAGATTAAGATGTTCTCTTCTCCTTTATAAGACAGTGTCATTTAGCCTAGGAGAAAATAAAGTACAGGCCAGTTCCTATGCTCCAATGTCAAACACTGTAAGTCCAAAGTATGTCATAAGAAGATTCTAAATTATAAAGAAAACTTTAAGAATTATCAGTATCAAAACTTTAGTTCCTTGTAGGTATTAAATAAACACTGTCCACTGAGTGAAAAAGTCACTAAGAAGTGTTTTGAACTAAACCTTGTTAAGTCCTTTCTGTCTCAGAGGAATTTTAAGTATTTTATCATCAGTCAGCAAACATAATAGAGGCTTTACTCCTCTGGGTAATCGCCAGCACTAGATTTAAATTCCACTCATCTGCTCATCTGGTGATCAACTTAGTATATCATCTAAAAACAGGGAAAGTTAGTACCTTGTGATCAATCCAGAAGGGCTTCCCAGGGGGCTCAGTGGTAAAGGACACGCCTGCCAATGCAGGAGACAGGGGTTTGATCCCTACGTTGGGAAGATCCCCTGGAGGAGGAAATGGCAGCCCATGCCAGTATTCTTGCCTGGAAAACCCCATGGACAGAGGAGCCTGGCAGGCTACAGTCCATGGGGTTGCAAAGAGTCAGACACAACTGAGCGACTGAGTACGCATGCAAGATCAGTCCAGAGGATTGTTATGCTTGTCAGTCCCAACCACCTTCTCCTACCCATGGTTCTATCACAGTGTCAGCAGTCGATGCAGTTTAGAAAGTTATCACGGAAAGAGCGGACCAGAGAAGATGAATGCATTCCTTTGTGGAAACCTTGTTGGTAGTGCAGAGTGTTTTAAATTTTGAGCAAGTCCATTAGAGATTATTCTCTGCTATAGATGGTCCAGTCTGTTAAACTCCCTAAGTGTTGTAAAAACAAAACAACAGACATAAAGCCCTATTATGAAACAAAAGAAGTACCCTATAATATAAAATGTAATTTTTAGTATACTACTGTTGACAGATTTTTCCATCTGTATGAATATGGTTCTTTTTTAATTTGGTCAAACATTTGTTAATCAAGAGTGACAAGTATCTTTTTGAAAGCAACTGAGAATTTCTTCAATGCCTCAATGTCCTTTTCCATAAAATGGAAATGCTGACTAAGCTTGTCCAAACATAGGGTGCTGACAGTGATCAACTGAGGCAATGTATGTAAAAGCGTTCTTGTTCATTGTTAAGTATTGTACCAGTGCAAACTGTTGCTGTTGTGTTTGCTGCTATCCTTCTGAGATTCCTAGAGGCTTTAAAAAGGATATAATTGGGGTTTGACTCTGTAGCACATTCTTTAATACATTGGCTTCTGTTTGCCCCTATATTTGAAAGCATAGTTTAAAGATACATTTAGTTTTATTGTTGATCTTTATAAATAAAATTTCCTAGTCCAGACATATACGGAAATAGAAGTCCTCAAAGGGAATTCATGTTCATTCACACTCCTAATTCTTTTAACTCCGTAGTCCTTCTAAAAAGTGGGAAATATATCCTTCCTTGATCAGAACCTTTCCTTCTATTGCCTTTTGCAAAATGCTTATTTCCCCTAAACTCCTCTTTTTCCCTGAGGAGAGTGATAAGATGTTCAATGTCCAGCACGCCTGACTTCCCTTACCAGAGCAGACTGGCCAGTGCCTTGTCCAAGGGAGCAGGCTTACAGTGGGGGCCCCCTTGGGGAAAGAGTCCGACAATTCTGTTTTTCAGTATTCTTTTTGTTGTGATCCTTAACATGCAAAATTCAAGCATTTCCTCATTTTTTAAAAAGAACTTTGAACCAAGCATCAGGAGGGATTCTTTTGCATTCTCGCTTGTTACCGGAGCATTATTATCATCTTTCTGTGTGTGTTTTGTTGTTTATTTGTGTGACTGGTTTTTTTTGGTGCTGAAATCCAGGAATTAAATGTTATCATCTTCTTTAACTCTATAAAATGCTAATAGGGGCCTAAATGAGATGTTGTATTTCTGTGATTAATGATTTGGGGCTGGAAAAATTATTCTTAATTATTGGTTTCCAAAGTAAAATAATGTTTTATATTGGCATCAGTTTTGATGTGTATGTTCAGAATTCAGTATGGAAGTCCTTTTAATGATGCTTTGACAGTAATTGGATTATTTTTGTTACTATAAGACCTAGAGTTATTTGAAATGAGTTATATAATAGCTAGACTTTATAGACTTACAGAATTTTACTGATCTCTGGGAGTTTTTGAACAATTCAGAACTTTCTAAATCTTGTACACACTCCTGGAAGTAAAGTTGCAATTTAGGTTGTTCAAAATTTTAGACTAAGATTAGCTGGCTAGGTAGACTTAGGTCTTCAAATTAATAATCACAATGACTTAACTAAACATGTCTAAGCTAATTAAAAGTTTAAGCTATGTTTCCAGTTAAAATAACTTCTGAGCTCAGCATTTGTTTTATTTTACCATGCCAAGAACATGGTAAAATAATCCTCAGGATAGGTTAAATTGATGCTGGCAAATTCAATTTAATACAGAATCTACAAGTATATTTGTGAAGAACTAAAATTTGTAAAATAATTTGAGTTTCAATACCTGTAGTTATGAAACCTGAAGCCATAAGAAACAGAGCGTTTATTGTTAATGATACACCTGAAGGGTTCCCCACTGATTCTACCCTCCTTGACAAATTTTACATGGTTTTTAAAAAAATTCTTCTCTTCAAAATTAATTTTCATTTCCTATAAGTAAATCAAAGGGTGTTTTCTGCCAGAGTGAACTATATAAGGTGAGGTATTGTTTCAGCTGCAGAAAACTCAGAACTCAAAATATTTTAGAGAGGGTACAGAGATTAATAACCCCTGCCTATTTGCAATTTAAGACTTAGAATAAAGCAGGGATATGTAACGAAGGTGTTAGACTGAGGGTTCAGTTTGTGTGGCGACTGGATGGAGGTAATCATAGTAGTCCTAAATGCTAATCTGGAAGACATCTATAAAGCATTTCTTTATCATATACCCTTTTACTCATCATGAAATAAAATTCATAGTTTAAGACCAGACAAGAAATATTTTAACATAAATTTTTTTCTTTACCCATTTGGTTCTCCTTTTATCTAGTGTGCATTGCTGTCTGGTCAGGACACTCAGGTTGGCTGTTCTCTTGCTCTCTGTACATTCCCTGCTTGACCAGGCCCTGCTTCACTCACAGGACTATCCAATCCTCTTAATTATAAGCCTTAATTAGTAACTGCCTACCTGCTGTTCCCCGCCTTCCCTGGTTTCCCTGGTGACTAATGAGCCAACCTGAGGTCCACTTGCCCTATAAAAGGTAGCTTCCTTCTCCCGGGAGCAGTGAAGATGCTGCCATGTCCTGCTTGTTGCCTGCTGAATGCCATGGGATATTGTTCCAGGCCCTCGGCCTCTGACATTTTAAGACCCCTCAACAGTCTTGAGGCTGAACAACTCCAGGGCTTGCAGCCTGTGGGGTGCAGCCCAACAACTGGCAAGCCAGCTATGAGGCCAAGGGGACTCTGTGAGTGCCAAGTTGTCAGGAAATAAGGATGGGAAACAAAGTTTGGGGAGCTAATCTGTAAGCAATTACAGACACAGGCTTTAGGGGTTTTAACTCAGGCACAGGTTTATGAATTGGACGTGGCCTGTAACCTAGAAGGGTTTGGCTGGGGCCTGTGACAACAGCAATATAATAAGAGTACCCTTGGACTTCTGGTTCCAAGTAGGGAAGCAGGCAGAGCAACAGTACATTGTGATGGAACAACAGCTATACACATCTACAATGAGTCACAACAGATGGAGGACCTTATAGAAGGCCCACCTGAGTCATGAAGCAAGGCAAAAGAGTATGCAACGTCTGGGAGCCCTGTGGATATGAGTAGCAACCGTGGAACTGAATTTACTGGCCAGGAAGTTTGGAATGATCCGATAAAAAGGACAAACGCTGGCATTTCCACCTGCCTTACCACCCCGCTGCTGCCAGGCTAACGGAAAGGATAAATGGGCTACTTGACAACAATTGAGGTGGGAATCTGCCCTCTCAGCTGCGCACCAGGAGACTAACTCACATCCTGGGAGCCAGACTGAACATCCCAGTGTCTACACCGTGTTCACCCAGAGGCAACACCATCCAAGTTCAGCTGTTGACCACCAAAAGACTGTTGCCAACTCTCGGACAGACAGTAACTCACTTTTGCCCTGACTACAGGATCTACACGCAGAGGAGCTCACTATAACATAGCCCTGGGACAGGTAAGTCCCTGGTGGTTCAGCTTGGCCTCCCCATGAGGTTAGGATTGTAACGGGACCTCACCTGTCCTTTACCCAGCCCTACCTAAGACTACTGAGGCCCCCCTACTGGAGAAAGGCACCATTATATTAATCTTGCGGTCAGTCGTTACACTGCCTCAGCCCTGTATTTGGCCCGGGCTATGGGGAATGAGGGTGGACAGGCAGGATGGTGCTGCAGACCAGGACAAAAACCCCAGGCAGGGCTTGTATTATCTCAGAGTGCTGTTACTGCTTGTATTTTGCTTAATAGTCATGATCTTCCCATTCCGTCCCTCTTAAACATCTTGCCTGTAGACCATAGTCTGAGCAAAGGGAATCTGTTCTTGGACTGGGAGACAACAGTGGCTTCACTGAAGAATGAACCTGATTGCTAGGTTGGCAGTGAGATGCCATTGTCACCTTCCCCTGGACTTGTGTGAAACACTGACTTGATGCTCTTTAGCTTTGGTGTCTGTAGTGCATTTGTGGTGTTTGGTTTCTGGGCACCTCCACACACGTGACTACGGCAGAAAAGGGGAGGACCAAGGCTGTAAGAGTCAGGAAGGGTAAGCGGGGTGGAGTGTGCGGTCAGGCCGTTCAGGCTGGCTGTTCTCTTGCTCTCCGTGCACCCCTGCTCGGCCAGGCCCTGAGTCCCTCACATGACTATCCAAACCTAGTGATCATAGGGCTTAACTAGTAACTGCCTGTGTGCTTGCCCTCTGCCCCAGCCACTGGCGTCACTGGTAACACATGAGACTACCTGAGGTCAATTTCCCCTATAAATGGAAGCCTCCTAGATGTCTCTCTAGGATTTTTGCCTCTGACATGGACAGGACATCTTAAACTGTCAATGTCTCCATCACTGTCTCTGGGCTCTTTTTTGGATTTGAGTCTGGGCAACTGCAAGGCTCCCAGACCTGCAGGGGACAGACCAACAGTTGTACATCTGATTATGCATTAACAAGGCCTCACAATAGCAGAAATATCTGCTCAACTGTAAAGATCAATTTTTTTTTTCTGACACTAGCAATATAACTTCACAGAAGGTGGCATTCCTTTCTCAATCTTGCAAAGGGTCGAGATGACCTACCACTCACTTTTGTACATTTAGAACTTTATGTACAATGCTAATATGTCATTTCCTGTAAAGATACTAATTGTTGTGGAACAGACTGGGTCAGACAGCCTGGAGAAATACTGAGCTGCACCTAATGGAGTTTCTTAGCTTAAACACTTACTTATGATCTTGTTAATATTACTAGCTGTATTAGTTGTATTTTGCCCATTTTACAAGATTATTGTTTCTTGCATTACCAAATGTGTGACTGAACCTCAGGTAAAAATGGAGACTAGCAACTTCAAATGACTGCCCAAATATATAGTTCTATAAGATCAGTGATGATAGGAGTGTAACTCTAGATACGGGAAGAAGCAACAAGAGAGAACCATTTCCTGGACCATAATAGACTAGTGAGACAGGTGGTCCAGAGGCTTTGGACTACTGTTAACAGAACCTAGTCCTGTAATAGCCCATTGAGTAGCTTGTCAATGAAACTGTCCCCTGACTTGGGAATGAGCGTTCCTAGTGCGAAGAGACCAGTTGGTCATCATGAAATGCCTTGCAAATCTTGGCCAAAATTAAGTCCAAAAGAGGAGGGAATTCTAACATAATGTTGCTCACCATCCAGTTCCACAAGAATCATCATTGGCCACAGCAGTTGCTGACTTACAGTACCCCCTCAAAGGAATTCAGTGTGAAGATCAGTATGAGGCATCTGTCTTCTGGGGAAATGGCAAAACTGGCCCTTGGGTAGCTAGATATTTTCAGGAGAAAATTTTATGAACCCAGTTTCTTGTATCTTCCCATACACAGAAAAGCACTAACTATTAACTAAAATGCCTGTCCTTCATAAATAGCAGCACGCTTTTACCAAGATGTCTGCTTGGTTGCACGTACTCTTTCACCAGAATCTCATATACATTGCCCTCCCCACTTACCTCTTCAGAAAAGTTCTCAGAGCTTTCTAAACACTGTCTCCTGGATTATAATCCTCAGATTGGCTTCATCAACCCTCACAATTGGGATGGGCCTCGCTTAGGAGAAAATGTTATGTATGTAAACTTAGCAAACTGGTAAGTTTGGAGGGAGAGAACAGGTAAATATATTCCATTATAAAGTAGGCGGGGTCGAGCTCTTTTCTAGAAAATTTATTGTAAGGTTGTTTAAGTAGAAAACACTTATGGTAATATTAGTATAGAATCAATTTTGCAAAAATTCCACTTAATTCAATTTCCCAAAGGTGACAGCCCCTAAGACCAAAGCCTAGGGTGGTGATGGTTAGAGAGTGAACATTTTGTATTAAGAGAATATCTTTCAAAAGTTAACATATATGCTTGGTATTTTTAACTCTTAAGCTGACAATATACTTCATCACCTCTGCCAAAGCCAAAGGATAGCTATAAGGCATGGAGTGAGAATATTGAATATGCCCCTTCTAAAACCTGGCTTTTCTCCCCACCCACACACACAAAAAAAAAACCCACTACATTATGACTGAAAACAGTATAGGCGATGAACCTCTTTTAAATACTAGACTGTTAAGATGAATGCATTTAATATTTTAAAACTGGGAAAACATTGCTGACTGCATCGAGGAGGAAATTTCACAGCTGACTCTTAGTTTTTTGTTAAGAAAGCAATGATCTTGGCAAGTTTCATAGTTCAGGCATCCGAACTCTGCTGCTGTTCCAAAAAATAAAAATAAATAATAACTAGTTAAATTAGTGTTTTGGGAAATGGATTAGAGTGTAATGTATGCAAGCAATTAAGCAACACGGACTTGATTCACTGTGATGTCTAAAGTGGCATTTTAAAAAATGAAAGTAGCTAAATTTGGCCCTGATAAAATATATAGCAGCAATGGGTTAGGAATTTTGCAGTTTTGCCCAAAGAGTCCAATCAAACAACCCATATATTAGGTGGCTGTTAACATGCTGGCAGCTGAATTTTTTACATCAGTTTCCAAGGTTGCACAGTAATTACATCTACTGTGAGTCATTTTTGCAGCATATTTTATAAAACTTTTACAGGTTTGCTGGGAAGGGATTATTCAAAGTCACCTTTTATAGATTCTGCCATGAATATTAGACAGTTCTTTGAAAATGTTAGTGTTTACCACTTCCATTGCTTCTGGTTTAAGCCTAGTTGGCATTTGAGAGTTTATGTATGAGTGGAGCTTCCTTTTCTGTGTAGACCTGCTGTTCCCTAGCATTGCTAGTTTATGTTCCCACTGAGCTGCTGCCAGGATAAAATAAATCCAGTTGCCTTTTGCTGCTCAAGGCCAACCTAGCAACCATGGAAAGAATTAGTTGCTCTGAGCACTTGTCCTTGGATGTCATTGGAAGGTAGCAATGTGCAGTTTCATGGTCAATGCAGTCCACAGAGAGTGTGCTCATTTGAACGGCTGACTAATTTAGATTTAATATTTTGGTCCTTGCTCTTTATTCTTATTCTCAATTATATCCAGCCAGTGCCCAGAGATGTGTTGAAGACTCTGATTGGATAAATTCCTTAGCATAACATTTAGATCCACTGATTGGATAAATAACTTAGCATTACATTAGGTCCACTGCTTATTAAGTCATTTGTGTCATTTGTGTGTTAGTTTATTCTATTTGCATTAGCACATTTTCACACCTGAGTGAAAAGTCCTGGTTGTTTCAAGTTAATATTTTAAACATACTCTTTTATTTCATGGATGATATTGCATTCATTTTAGAATATAAAAGACTGGTGAGAAATTTATTACATTTTGGAGATGGTGCATGATCTTATTGGGAGTTGATGTCAGTTTTGGAATTTAGGATGGAGGAAGATAAACGTCAGGAATGCTGGAGCTCCTTGGGAAACTGAAAGGAGGGAAGGAAACACACTGGTCTTCTCTACTGGAGTCATCAGCAACTTCAACACCATCTTCAGCAAAGCTCCAATGAGGTGTAATCACTCTTAGTTCAAAAGATGTGGGGCTGTGAAGATTGCAGGGGAGCAGTAGAACCAGTCTCTCACTCTGCTCTCACTCAAGGATCCAAGAAAACATGTAATTCTGTTTTCAACACCTAGTTTCTCACATTATTTCTGTGAGCATGGTTGTTGAGCTCTGCTGATACTCTAACTTGACACTTTGAATCTTCTTGTCTTTCAAAAAACTAGTCCTGGCTATTGTGCCATTTGGATCTTTTTCTTCTCATTCAAAGAACAGATTTTTGAAAATAGATTTCAAACTTTAATATTTGTAATTAGCAATGTCAGTATCTTTGGAAATACATTTGGAAACTTCATTCAGCACATCTATTGAATGTTTATTCTTTAGTGGGATCTCTTCTGAGCACTGGTGATTCAGGGCTAAACTGATCTCAGAACAACAAAGGTCTTGCTCTCATGGAGCTTATATTCTGGTGGAAGAGAAAGGTGATAAAGTATTATAAGTGCAATGGAGGTAAGTAGAGCAGATCAAGGGAGAAGGGAAGACAGGGAAGTAGCTATTTTAGATTTGGTGCTCAAGTGAAACCTTTGTGAACTATGCCATTTGAACAGAGACCTGAAAGAAGTGAGGATGTAAGTGCTGCAAAACCCTGAAGAACAGCGTGTCAGAGGGAATAAAGAGCTCCCACAAAGGTCCCAGAGCAAGAACTAGATTTGCATATTTAGAAGAAGCAAATGTAGTAAGACTTAAGAAAACAAAAAATTATAAGGAAGTAAGGATAGGAATACAGACAGTGGTAAGATCACAGAGGACCTTCAAGGTCCACTTAGGTATGATTTTAAAATCTGTTGCATTTTATTCTGAACATCCAAAGATACCACAGTGGTTTTCAGGCAGAAGTAACATTTGCTGATTTAACCTTTCTAAACAATCTCTCTGCCTGCTGTGTGGGGAATATTGAGTTGGTTTAGGGGATGAAAGAGTGAAAGCAGAGGACCC